ATCATATCAACATCAATCAATGAGTTTAAGATCCTGTACTTGGAGTAGCGTGTTGTGTTTCCTCGAAGCATGGAGGAAACGGCAAAGACTACGAAATCCCTCTTGAACTCATCACCATGATCAGCTCTCCTAACAATCTCATCTGGCATCTGTGTAGTTATTGGCGAGCCTGCTGTAATACCCCACCTCCTTCTCCATGAAGTCAGCAGCAGTTTGTATTCACGGGTTGAGGTGTCTTCCATCTTTGTCCCCTCATTGACCTTCAGAGGCCCTCGCGGGATTCCCAACGTGTATTCGACATCTTCCTCTTCAATGTGGAGACTATCATCCTCTAATACAAAATCACACCTGCAAACATTAAAGTTGTCCAGCAGGTATTGCACCAACTTTGATTCATTGGTGCAGAGTTGGAGATGAAGAAGTCCACCAAATCCAGTTTCTACGACAGCTTGTTTCTGTCGTGGTGAGAGCCTCTGGACAAGATCAAACATCAGCTTTGGCCCCATCCTCGTATTGAAGTAATCTCTCCTGTGTTCTCTAGTTCGTCGGCGCCGTCTCGTTGAAGTCTCTGCAACAGTTGTTTCCTTAGCAGGGCGTGAGCGCTGAGCTGCTTGTGAATTTAGGGCTGCTGCTGGTTGTTCACTAGTTGGATTAGAGCTCTGAGCTGCTTGTGAATCTAGAATTGCTGCTGTCCGGTACTCTGTTCTTCTTCTTTTTGTTTCTCTAAAAGCCTCAGCCAGTGTAGGTTCACGAGCCATTTCTGTAAATAAGAATTATTAAACTATACATCCATATTATCATAACTATTTGTCCACAAACATTTCAGAAACACACTAATTGAAGACAGGAATGATATTTTCATACATGCATAAGTATTAAACTATAAAACCACAAGTATAAAGCTATATATCCACAATATCACAACTATTTGTCCACAAACATTTCAGAAACACAATAATTGAAGAGAGGAATGATATTTTCAGACATGCATAAGTATTAAACTATAAAACCACAATTATAAAGCTATATATCCACAATATCACAACTATTTGTCCACAAACATTTCAGAAACACAATAATTGAAGAGAGGAATGATATTTTCAGACATGCATAAGTATTAAACTATAAAACCACAATTATAAAGCTATATATCCACAATATCACAACTATTTGTCCACAAACATTTCAGAAAACACACTAATTGAAGACAGGAATGATATTTTCACACATGCATAAGTATTAAACTATAAAACCACAATTATAAAGCTATATATCCACAATATCACAACTATTTGTCCACAAACATTTCAGAAAACACACTAATTGAAGACAGGAATGATATTTTCATACATGCATAAGTATTAAACTATAAAACCACAATTATAAAGCTATATATCCACAATATCACAACTATTTGTCCACAAACATTTCAGAAACACAATAATTGAAGAGAGGAATGATATTTTCAGACATGCATAAGTATTAAACTATAAAACCACAATTATAAAGCTATATATCCACAATATCACAATTATTTGTCCACAAACATTTCAGAAACACACTAATTGAAGACATGAATGATATTTTCGAACATGCATAAGTATTAAACTATAAAACCACAAGTATAAAGCTATATATCCACAATATCACAACTATTTGTCCACAAACATTTCAGAAAACACCAAAAAACAATCAAACAAACAGAAAAAAAACAGAGTATTGATCTGTTTGAGAAAAATGCAAAATCGTGTTGCAAAACCCTAGTCAAAAATAACAAGAATATACAGCGAATATGAATGTTAACAGTCAAAAAACACAAAAATACATTATACCTGATGGAGAATGCGATGATAAAAGGCGACAATGCTAGAATGAAAATGGCGAAAATGGCAACAATGGTGAACAAAACACGCTCCGGCGACAATGAGATGAAGACGACGAAAATCGCGACTCCGAGTAGACAGAGAGAGAGATGAAGACTGCTACAGTGCGAAGGAAGTGTGTAGCTTGTTAGAGACGAAACGTTGGAAATGGCGGAAAAAGGAGTATAGTGGCGTTTTATGGCAATAATAATAATATTTTTTTTTTAAATATCGGGATGAGTGAAACGGTGCCACTAACGGCACCGTTACTTCCCTGGCACTATACGGTGCCGTTTTCAACCGTGTGTACCAAGAACGGTACACACGGTTGCACGGCATAACAATTGATCATCAACCATTTGGTCCAAAACTAAATTATAATGCTAGGAGCATCGTCAACCGTTTGTGTTGGTTGTCAGGTTTTTTTTTGCCACATAGAAAAGAGGGAATGTTGAAGAAAATGAGGGAAAAAAAAAACATAAAAAAAATTTATTAAACAAAAAATAATAATCTTGAAACACGCCTAACAGGTGTGTATAGTGCATACACCGCATACACCCACTCAGTGCAACTGGTGCTCACAAGTCACAATGCACATCAGGTACATTTCTTATCTTCTTCAATGCAACTCTCATTTCTTGCAAATTTTATTTCTCTCTCCCTCTCTCTCCTCTACCCCACCACAAAATTCACCCTCTAAAATGGTACTATTGAAAATGGTCTTAGGCTGGGATTATCCCAGCCAATTTGCTATTGACGAGATGATATGGCATTTGTCACATCATTTAATTTTGTATTGTTTTTTAAATTTTGTTTCGTTTATTTTTTAATATTTAAATGTAATTAATATAAATTAATAATGTTATTTTAATATATTGAGTCTACTTTTAAAAGTTTATTGGATTTGTCGGGATAAGGATAACCTTAGCAACACCTACACCACTATTGACCTTGATTATTTTCGAATGATATCTCGCCTCCCCAACTATACTCTTACACTCCAGCAAAAAAGCACTTTGTCCTTTCTCATCATGCTAGAAAATAAAATTCATACTTTATCTTTGAAATGAAATTATTCAATCACCTTGTTAAGAACGATTGGACCCTGCTAACATGGATAACTTAACTGGTAATAGAGGTAAAATTTGTCACAAGAAATTAAAGATATCATGAGAAAAACTTTTTATTTGCGGTGAGTAAAAATTTAGTCTCGATCGATCAATGGACGATTCCACCTTTTTATCACAACAAGTATTGACCCCATATGTTACGTTTCGTCATTGCTAAACTAAATGTCTCTTACTTCCTTTGACTGCCCCATCTACACTTTTTCGAATCAAATGGCCATGCTTAGAAAATAAGCTAAGGCTAGAATTTGAGGTGTCGAAATGGGTTGACGGGACGGACTCGTCAAAATACGGGCCTAAGAGAGGTCACGCTACATCGGCAAGCTTTGGTGTGGGGACCGCCAAATTTAAAAAGTTTTAAATTTAAATAAAAATTAATATGGAAACAGTTAATAAGTGTATACTAAAATAATTTAGATAATTTAAAAATATATTAATGCATTTGTTAACTAATATATATATATATATATATATATATATATATATACACACACACACACACACACACACACACACATATTAATAATGTATACATACTAGCCAGGCTTGGCGGTCAAGCCCGCCATTTTGGCGAGAGGCGGGCTAGCCAAGCGGATTAAGTCCGTTTTGACACCTCTTCCCTGCAAACCTTCCCTTGTAAGCTAACATATAGAGCGAAAAAGAATTTAATTTTTTTTTTAATATATGACATGGAATGCACGTTTGCATCTTAAAAAATATGGCAGCCTTTTGTACTTTTTTTTATATTTTTGATTATATTTTATTTTGATATGATGTGAGAGTGGAGTCTCTTTTGAAAATGAGAGAGTTCTATAGGGATATAAAGAAAATAATAAAAAAATTATAAATTTGATAATATAGAAGTAAGATCCACTTTTAAAATTAAGAAAGTATTGCAATGATAAATTCAGCATAATAGTTTAAAGTCCTCACATGTTGCAACTTGGGTATACAACTCAACTTTGCTTTTTCGGGATATGATACAACAAAAAAGAGTAAGACATGTGGCTGCGTAACAGAATAATATAACAACAATGAATGAACTCCGCACTATTGTTTAAACTATTAAAGCATTTTCACTTTTGGTAATAAATAACCTTATTGAAGTGATTTTATACTAACTTCCTGATCAAATTAAAAAAGAGAAAGCAGATATTTAAAATAAAATAAAAAAAAAAAAAGATTTTTGACCCCTTAAATTGTTTTAGTTTTAAAATTTTGGCCCTTGTAACTTATTTATTCATAATATTCTCAAAGGATTGAAAGTGCAACATAATGGACAATTAAAACACTAAATATATTTAAATCAATTAAGAATTGACCAAATTTCTAAAATGAAACAATTCAATGCCCAAAAGTGTTGTTTTGAACTTCAAATTTTTAGATTTAACCAACAATAATAATTTTGAACTTTGTTATCTTATTTAAACAAAAATTAATAATAATAATAATAAAACCTTTTCTATGTCAAAAAGAATTTTGAATTTTACACAAAACACATTATTTTTTACTACCTTAGATTAAATCCGTGGGAATCAACTACTATATGATTTATATTGTGACTCAAAATAAAATCCTGACCAACAATATTAAAAATGATCCTTTTCTTCAAATTCCAAATTCAAACCTAACCTTACTCATAAGGCATTCTTCAAATAATTTAAATCAAAACATTTAGAATCCCACTAAATAGATCTTATTCATGGAATAAGATTCGCTTTCAAGATACCCATAATTGATGAATCATGAGACTCAAAGGCCCTCTTTTTTTTTTGAAAACGCAAAGGCCCTCTTTGATTAAGCTAAAGTTAAAATGCTTTTTCAGTGAGTTGTGGCATTGAGAATGCACATAGACTGAATCGGATTGCAAAATCCAAGTGATCAACCCCTATCCTAATGAATAAATCGTAAACAGTCTTCCTGTTAAGAGGTCTCATCCCTCCAGTCAGAGAAATACTTATTATTTGTTAAAACTTCAAATAGCCAGATATTTAGGGCCCTGCAAGTCCAATTTATAGCGCAAATCTCCATTATTTAATTCCATGGAACAACGTTAATACAGATTTACAATATAACAGCAGCGATCAATATAGAAAGTGACACAGTCGAATACATCGCACGGAGAACCCATAACCATAGCCAGAACTAAACGCAAACCAAGATCAAAAACATGAATTATCTATAAAATTTAGACCTACACCACCACTAATAAGATGGTGGCCTAATCGAAGATCAATTTAATTCCTCCAGCTTCCATCGGAAGAACCACCACCCCTAGAATAACCGCCACCATAACCGCGGTCGTTGCCGCCATATCCGCGGTCACCACCACCATAGCTACGGTCTCCACCGCCATATCCACGGTCACGGCCGCCACCGTAACCTCCACCATAACCGCCTTCACGTCGACCGTATCCGCCTCCGCCTCCGCCCTCACGGCGACCACCACGGAAACCTCCGCCGCCGCCGCCGCTTCCGCGAGACTGTGCTTCATTAACGGTAATGTTACGGCCGTCTAGGTTTTGGCCATTCATAGCCTCGATGGCGTCCCTCATGGCATGTTCGTCCCTGAAGGTGACAAAGCCAAATCCCCTGGATCTACCAGTCTCACGATCATTGATAATCTAAACAAACAAAAAAGGTAACAACACATTAGATCTTCTTCCAATCATCCGAAATCCGATATAAGACAATCGAATTAACACATGCACATATAGATTCAAATAAAAGGGGATGAAACAAAACTCGATCAATCTTCAACTCTTAACGAGAGAGGAAGACGGAACGTACCGTTTCACGATTAGGAATAACAGTAACATAAAAGTAACACAGAGAACAGTAGATCAAGTAACAGAGGATATTAGTAACAGAGAGATCAAGTCGGATCGGATCCGATCACTGCTCTGCATCAACGGACCTTCGATTCGAGAATCTCGCCATACTGACCGAAAGCCTCATCAAGGGTTCGTTCGGTGGTGGCCCAGGCCAAGCCACCGACGAAACACCTAAACTCAACATCTGCGGAAGCCATTTTTATATAGTCAAAAAAGCTTAACAAACCGAACGTAACAAAGGATAAGAAAGAGGCAAAAGATTGATGAAGAGAAATTGGGAGAAACGATTGGATTATATAGGCGGAGGTTTCAAGGTTTAAGGCAGATAAAGTTGCTCAAGAATATCGCTTTTTACCCTTTCTGCCCCAGATTTTATGAACTACTATGGGGGCTGGTTAGTAAATAGTAATCTGGTTCAGACGAGTAAAGCCATGTTTGTCAATTGCTCAATTGTTATTCGCTTCCTTTTTTGGAAAATTTTAATCTTTTATATTAAAACTAATATTTTTTATGCACTATGCGCAAAAACATATGTCTAATATTTATATTTTTAAAAATAATTAACAAAATTTTACTAATTAAAATCTAAGTGAAATAAAATTTATTTATTATATTAATATAATATATAATGAATATATAATATTTACAAATATTGTTATAATTAAAGAATATAAGAAAAGATGTGGTAAATGCACGTGCACGGTAAAAGTAATGGAAAAAGATAACGGTAAGGGTATTTTTGTCCAAAAGATTGTGTAGTACAACTCTAAAAGCACAATGTACAAAATGGTTAGCATTAAAAACATGGACATAAATGAGGAATATAACTTTGATTGAGACTTATTATATTAGATTTAGATATAACTACTACTAAATTTTAAAAATTAATTCCAAATGACCCCAAGGCAATTTTAAAATGATTAATGCTAGAGACTCATAATATTTTTCCTTTCCACTTCATCCTCCATAACGTGACAATATTTAATTGATAATTAAATTATATTTTTAATAAGTGATAGGTCAATCAATTCATGACACTCAATGAATAAAAGTCAAATTAGAAGAAAAATATTGAAGGTAAAATTTAAGAAGAGAATAAAACATTTTCCTTTTAGAATTACATACACGGATAGAATTTTATTAATTTTTAATTTAATGTTCATAAATAAATATTTTGAATTTATCTAGTTGAGTCCATTTATAGAAATAAATTCAAAATAACCTTTCAAAAAGCCAAACTCTTTTAGAAATTTCATTTAAATAAATTCATCCAAACAAGCGTGTGAAATAGAGGGAAGAAAACTCATAAATAAATTCAAAATAACCTTTCGTAGACGATTTTGTAATTTGTCTAATTTGAAGGGTTGAAAGAAAAATTGGAGGGTAAGAAATGCAAATAAACAAAGGAAATTCGGGAAAAAGTGAAAACGGTGCGGAACCAAAGTACCAAACGGTCCAAACAGAGAACAAGTCCACACGGGAAGAATATTTTAAGTGGACCCCAAATATGACGTCAGACATGAGCGTAAACGGGTATCAATGAGAAGATATTTTTGTAAAGCGGTTAGATATTTTGATTTCATACATGAAAAGGATTTCAGAGAATCAGACTGGGCTGAGATTTATAGCCCATAGGCCCCATACGGCCCATTTTCCTCTTTAACATTGTAACAACAATAACTATTAATCAAAATAATTAAGTTAGTTAAACAATCGTTATATCCTACACCACGGCGCACATAGCATTGTGCGTCGCGCGCCTCCCAAAACGACGTCGTTTTGGGGTCGTGTTGGGAGGCGCGGTAGGAAGTTGCTGAGATTATGTGTATTCGTTCACAACGTTATGTGTATTCGTTCACAACGTTATGTGTATTGGTTCATACAGTTATGTGTATTTTTTATACAATTATGTACATTGTTTTTATACAATTATGTACATCCGAATCAGAAAATTTGTGTGTATTATGTTAAGAGTTGATGTGTATTATGTTAAAAGTTTATGTTTATTATGTATTATGTTAGATTATGTGCATTATCTTTTAAAAAGAGTATGTATATTTTGTTATAACATTATGTGTATTCATGTATAACATTATGTGTATTCAAGTATAACATTATGTACATTCTTGAACAACGGGTTTTTTTTTAAAGAAAAGCCTACTGCCATTCACTGGGGCGGGAAATTTCAAAAAAAAAAATTAATTAAAACGACGTCGTTTTGCATCTGGGCGCATAGTGCAATGTACGCCGTGGTGTAGGATATAAATTGCCTTAGTTAAAGATTAACTAAAACTTGCGGAGTAATCTTTATATTAATTGCAAGAAAAATTAATTAGCATGTATGTTTGGTGCTATCTTTTTTTGAAACACACGATCACGTGACCCTCATTTGGAATGATAACAGATATGTCATAATCATAGAATTGAATTTTCAGTTAATTTAAATTTTTCTAAGTTAAATATTACACCAAAGGTGAGAGTAAATTTCTCACATTTTACATTCTCAAAAAAAAATAATTTTTCTTAATTACCAAACGTAAGAATAAATTTCACACATTTTACATTCCAAAAAAAAAAAATTAAACTTTCTTAACTACTAAAGTGACGTACTAAACTTGGACACTAGGGTCCGTTTACTTCTCTATTTTCTATTTAGAAAACTTGTTTACTAATAATTATTTTTTAAAATTTATTTATTTTTAGATTAACGTTATAAAAATAACACAAGTTTAATTTTGAGTGATTTTTAGATCTTATATTTAAGATTTTTTTTAACATATATTTGGTTTAAATGGAATAAATTTAATTTTTTTTTAACTTTTATGTCTAATATATGTAAATTTTACATAAAAACTAAAAAGAATATATCCGAACCAATAACCTACTAAGTTCACCTAAAATTTATATTTTTTGAACTAATATTTAAAATATTTTTTGGATATATTCATTTGAATGACATGTATATGAATATATAATTTTTACTTAGAATTCTAATATATGTGCGATTTCAATATCCAATATCTAGACCAAACTTGATACAACATAACTAAAAATATCCGAACTAATAATTTATTGAGTTTAATCAAAATCTAAAACATTGTATAGAAGATTGTGATAAGTAAAATAAAATGATAATTAATGTAATGTGTTAAATATTGTATAGAAGATGGTGATAAGTAAAATAAAATGATAATTAATGTAATGTGTTATATTAACATATAACCAAATAGATAAGATTCGGTTTTTCATTTAGAAAATAATTTGTAAGGGTGGAAAATTATTTTTAGTTTCAAAATAGAAAATTGCACTAATAAACATATTTTCTGTGGGCATAGGTGTTCATTTGCACCTTGAAGGAGGGGAGGATCTAGAAAAATGTCAAATAGAATTGAATTTTATACAAAAATATTATTTTCTACTATCTTATATTAAACCGTGGAAGTCGGATCAACTATATAATATGAAAAAAAAAAAAAAAACCTAACGAACAATATTAAAAAATAATCCTTTTCTTCAATTCCAACTTTTTCTTTTTGGAATACAAAAGGAGGGGGGAGGACCAAGGCTGAAGAACGACAAATAAGACCACTGGTCTTTGCGAACTACGCTGAAGAACAACAAATTAACGGACAGCCCCTAACTCGTCTTTGCGAACTAAATTATCGCAGTCCGGAGGATAAATTCCAACTTATTCAAACCTAACCTTACTCACAAGGCATTTTCCAAATAACTTAAATCAAAACATTTGGAATCAACTCTACCTTTGCAATATATTACATTAATTAAATAGATATCTTATTCATAGAAAAAGATTCGCTTTCAAAGATTCCAATCGTTGAACACTCCCGGAGATTCAAAACCTTATGCTCAAGAGCGGAAAGTTGGTCCTCTACGGGCATTGAGAACGCACATACATTGAATCAAATTGCAAAATCTAAGTGATCTCCCCCCTATTCTAATGAATGGGAGCTTGGTTGCTGAACCGACAATGGAAATCAGATAATTCAAATAGGGTGTTATTTAGTGACTGCAAGTCCAATTTATAGCGCAAATCTCTATTATTTCATTCCATGGAACAACGTTAATACAGATTTACAATATAACAGCAGCGATCAAAATAGAAAGTGACACAGTCGAATACATCGCACGGCAAACCCATAACCAGAACTAAACGCAAACCAAGACCAAACACATGAATTATCTCTAAAATTTAGACCTACACCACTACCACTATAATGGTGGCCTAATCGAACATCAACTTAATTCCTCCAGCTCCCATCAGAGCCACCACCCCTAGAATAACCACCACCATAACCGCGGTCGTTGCCGCCATATCCACGGTCATCACCACCATAGCTACGGTCTCCACCGCCATATCCACGGTCACGACCGCCACCATAACCTCCACCATAACCACCTTCCCGTCGACCGTATCCGCCTCCGCCTCCACCCTCACGGCGACCACCACGGAACCCTCCGCCGCCGCCACCGCTTCCGCGAGACTGTGCTTCATTAACGGTAACATTACGGCCGTCTATGCTCTGGCCATTCATAGCCTCGATGGCGTCCTTCATGGAATGTTCGTCCTTGAATGTGACAAAGCCAAATCCCCTGGATCTACCAGTCTCACGATCATTGATAATCTAAACAAACAAAAGAGGTAACAACACATCAGATCTGCTTCCAATCATCCAAAATCCGATATAAAACAATCGAAATAACGCGTGCACATATAGATTCAAATAAAAGGGGATGAAACAAAACTCGATCAATCTTCAACTCTTAACGGAAGAGGAAGACGGAACGTACCGTTTCACGATTAGGAATAACAGTAACATAAAAGGAACAGAGAGAGAACAGTAGATCAAGTAACAGAGGATATTAGTAACAGAGAGATCAAGTCGGATCGGATCCGATCACTGCTCTGCATCAACGGACCTTCGATTCGAGAACCTCGCCAAACTGACCGAAAGCTTCATCAAGGGTTCGTTCGGTGGTGGCCCAGGCCAAGCCACCGACGAAACACCTAAACTCAACATCTGCTGCAGCCATTTTTATAAGAAAGAAAGATCAACAAAACTGAAAGCAACAAAGGAGAAGAAAGAGGCAAAAGATTGATGAAGAGAAATAGGGAGAAACGATTGTATTATATAGGCGGAGGGTTCTAGGTTTAGGGCAGATAGAGTTGCTCAAGATGCGCGATGCAGAACGCTTTTTTCCCTTTCTGCCCCAGATTTTGTGAGCTACTATGGGGGCTGGTTAGTAAATAGTAATTTGGTTGAGACGAGTAAGGCCGTGTTTGTGAATTGCTCAATTGTTATTCGCTTCATTTACTACCCGATTTTATAAATTATTACCAAATGACCCCAAGGCAATTCAAGAATGAGTAATGTTAGACACCCTTAAGGGGGCCTTTGGTTCAGGTTATATAACATAACCAAGGGAATGTGACATTTCAAAGCTCACATTCCGGTGTTTGGTTCATATTATCTTAGGGAATCTAACATTCCCAAGGAATGTCACATTCCCCCCACATAGGATTTTGAAGGGAATGTGATTCCCTTCAAAATATTAGGTAATGTAGGATAACCTTGGTTATGTTAGTTTATTTTATACATACATACATACATATATTTATAATATATATATATATATATATATATATATATATATTGTAATTATATATTTTTTTATTTTTATTATGTTATGTTAGCATTTAAAATAATTTTGTTTCTCAAGTTCAAGATTTTAATTAATATTTTAAAATCATGTAATTATATATGATACCGTTATCTTATTTATTTATTTTAATTTTTAAATTTATTAAAATATATGAAAATATGTTAAGGATATTATAGTGTGTATAAAAGATAACCCTAAACCAAACATGATTATATTACATACCCCAATTTTAACCAAACACAGGAATCTAACATTCCCAGCAATCTAACATTCCCTAAGGTAATCTGACATTCCGTGAACCAAACGACCCCTAATATTTTTTCCTTGTAATTCATTATTCATGACATGACAATATCTAATTGATAATTGATAATTAAATTATTATATTTGTAATAAGTGGTGAGATCAACCAATTCATGACACCCAATCAATGAAAGTCACATCATGAGGATTACATACATCTATGAGGGGAAGAAAGCATTTTCCTTTTAGGATTACATACACGGATGAAATTTTATTAATTTTTAAGTTAATGTTCATAAATAAATATTTTTGTTAAAGAAAAAACAGAGAGATTATGGAGAAAAGGGGGATCATCATCATCTTGTTTATCCATCCATGATCCACGAGTATATATCTCTATATAAAATGTAAATGTAATAATGAATAATGAATACCCATAAATGTGAATAACTATTACAACGGTTACAATTGGATAATAATGTCCACCATGATGATTTCTTTATAACACTTCTCATTGGACATTATTTGACATGATCCTGCCTCGTAAAAACTTGCTAGGAAAACCCTGTGGGAAAAACTTAGATAAAAGGAGTATAAAAGTATATACTCAAATATATATATTCATGCCTCGTTAAAAACTTCACTAGAAAAACCACGTGAGAAAAAACATAGTAAAAAAAAAGAGTACATGATATTTGTAAATCATATATAGGAGTGTGCATTCGGACGGTTCGGACGGATCGGGTGAGGGATAGGTGCATTCGGTCGGATTTCGGATATGTATTTTGACTACCCTATCCGTTTAAAAATGTTGACTTATCCGGTCGGTTATATCATTGTTCGGTTTGGGTCGGGTCGGTCGGATATCCGAAATTATTTCGGTTATTAACAATTGTTGAAATCAAATAAAAAACACAATAATAAGTAACTGAAAGTCTGAAATATTGAATAAATAAGTAAATAATTAATAGAATGATAGTGTAATAGACTAATACATGTAATACTAAGTTACTAAGTTAGTAATTAGTATTACTAAGTAGTCTATTAACTAACATTAAGAGTCTTAACTCTTAAGTGGCTAAGAGTCTAAGACTCCAAAAAAACTACAGAAGTACATACTAGCTAGTATACTACTTACTACATACAAATTTACATACTACATACGCAACTGTTTAAACTTTAAACCGAAGCACCACAAAAACAAATTCACCCAAAATCAGCAACTCAGCATTCAGCAACTCCTAGACTTTTAGAATTTAGACAATTAGAGTTATTCTTCTTCATGTGAATTGTGACAAGTTAGTGTAGATAACTAGTACACAAGCAAGTAAGCAAGTAAAGCAACTGAGCAAGCATTAGAAAATGAAAAACATAAAAGGGATTATATAAATATTGGCTCAGTAAGCATTTTTTCCATATCATTTGGATTAAGGGCCTATTGCTTCAATATACCTTAAGTATAGAGCAACTGACCAACTTAATCCTTTCATTTTCAGATTGAAGGTGGAAGCTTCATCATTGCCAAACTTGCCAACTTAAAGTGAACAGACAGAATAAAATAGTCCATACATTACCAAATGCCCAAGGTACTTGAGGCAGCAACTTAGTACAAGTTACCAGGCCTTCATACTTACAGAGTTACAGAGTTTGAGACTTACAGATGTCCAGTGTTTGTGAGTCAAACACAGTGGGCTCAAAAAAAATAGCAAGTGAGATTAGATTGCAATTTAGTTAAACAGTCAAATACTGTAAAAGATTGCAATAAAATCAAGTAATGTAAATAATAACATTACAGGAATTGTAGCAAGTGTAGAACCAAGAGACCTCCCACTTCCACCATCACCACTTAACTCTGCAAAATAAACAAGAAAAGTATTAACAATTTAAGCAATTTAAAATATAAGTATAAAGGATTATAATGTTAAAACTAAAAACTCATACCTTTTACAAACCTCTCCAACTCTTCCAGATTCTCCTCAATACATAAAGGAGTATTTTGCTTTCTAAGCCAATCTTGTGTACACACCAATGCTTCCAATATTTTTGGAGTTAAAGAACTCCTAAAAGGATCCAATACTCTTCCAGAAGTACTGAAGGCAGATTCTGAGGCTACAGTGGAGATTGGAATGGCTAGGACATCCCTAGCAAGCTTAGACAGAACTGGAAACCTAGCAGAGTTGATCTTCCACCATCCAAGTATATCAAAAGATTCTTCATCTTCAACTATTCCCTCACTCAAGTACATATCCAACTCAGTTTGTCTCTTACCCCCAGACTCCAATCTTTGCTTTTTAATTTGGGACTTCAGAAAATGTTGTGGCTTCCCAACAGAAACAGAAGAGGCAGATGTAGGTTGTACAGACACAGGCACAGAAGGGACAGAAAAAGAGGTAGATGTAGAATAATCATCAAATAACTCAGCAAGACCAGCAACTACTTTGTCATAGAATGGTTGACCCTTTTCCTCACCATACATATGATTAAACTGAGTAGGCATATACTCTAACTTGTCTCTAGGGTCTAGAATGTTTGCAAAAAATATCATTAGATTCATTTTTTCCACATCACCCCAATACTTCTCAAATTTTGCCTTCATATTTTTCCCCATCACACCAACTGGCCCACCAACTTCCACCATGCCTTTCAATAGGCAGTAGAGATCAGAAATCTCAGTAAAGAATGTGTTTGAGGTGACATATAAAGAACCAGAAATTCTAATGGTCATGTCATAAAAACACTCCAGTAACTGAACCAGACTGCCAACAGATTCTCAGTCCATAAAATCAGGAATTGAATTACCCAAATCAGACTTGAAAGAGCAATCTGACTCCAAAGATTCAAACACTTTTTGGTAAGTTAATGCAGACTGCAACATCAAATAGGTAGAGTTCCATCTGGTTGGAACATCTAAACACAAAGAAGACCTTTGTTCAATACTCAACCAATCAGCCAAATCCCTGAACTTCTTGAGTCTAGCAGGAGAGTTTCTAACATATCTAACCACCTCCCTAACCTTCTTAACTGAACTATCACAATCCTTAAGACCATCTTGAACTACTAGGTTTAAGATATGGGCAATACATCTCATGTGAAGATACTTTGTCCTCACAGTAGATGATCTCCAAGACAGCATTTTTTTCTTCAGAAACCCCATAGCAGTGTCACTTGATGAGGCATTATCAACAGTCACAGAAAACACATCTCTAAGCCCCCACTCAAGCAAACAATTTTCTAGGGCTTTGGCTAGATATTCACCTTTGTGAGAAGTAACAGTGACAAATGCAAGGATTTTCTTATGAAGCTTCCACTCAGAATCAATAAAATGGGCAGTAACTACCATGTAGTTAATTCTTTGGATGGATGTCCAAGAATCTGTAGTGATACTAACCCTATGACTGCTTCCCCTTGAAAATTGCTTCAATTTCAGTCTCTCCTCATCATAGACAACTAGGATGTCCCTACTTATAGTCCACCTGGATGGAACTATAAACCTAGGGCAAGCAATAGCTATGAACCTCCTGAAACCTATTCCCTCCACAAACCTAAAGGGCAATTCATCTATGATTATCATTTCAACCAAGGCCCTCCTTATTGACTCTTGATTAAAAACCCAAGTCCCTATTTCTCCCACAGTAGGCTGACCATCTGTAAGTGATGTAACAGATTGAAATGTTAACAGGGACTGCCTAGTTTCCTTGGAGTGAGGATTTTTCAAACAGCTAAACATGTGATTTCTTAAGGAAAAAGTCCCATGTTTTTTTGTCTCACAATGGTAAATTTTGGCACAATAAATGCATTTGCCTTTTACAACAACATTATTAGTGTCCTTTATTGCCTCAAAATGATCCCACACTGGTGATCTGGAAGCAACCTATTTCCTTTTCTTGGCTGGAACAGCAGTAGGAGGTTGCTCATTCTGTTGATTCTCAACAGTTTGGGCTTCCACCCCTGAAGGTCCATCAATTTAGGAGCTGGGAAGTTGACTACCAGGAGTACCAGGCATACTGATATTATCCATCTAAAAATGGTGAACTATCAGTATACACAACAGGATTCAAAAGTATTCCAGAATCAGACACATTTTGTGTCATCATTAGTCAGGAATGCATAATTAATTAAAGGGCATTATTCAATACAAAATTACAAATATACAAATACAATTAAGGGAATACATCCATAAACTTACAAAGAAATCCAGATTCAGGGATATATTTAAAATATCGAGATGAAACAGAGACTGTTATAACATAAAAACAGCTCATTTCATCAACATCATTAACTGAATTTCTAAGGGGCTTCCACCAATTAAAGCTTTTAAGAGACATTATAAGTTTATAACACTCAAATTTATAAGACTCTTATAAGTTATAACAGTCAGTGCTTCCACCAGAAACAATGGACAAGTGACATACAATCTAGAACTTCTCAACAGATTGACTTAATCACAGTCCACAATTCAAAGAATCATAGAAACCACAATCAAGTATCATAACATCACAAACAAGGGAAAAGAGACAAGTGATATACAATCTGGAACTTCTCAACAGATTGACTTAATCATAGTCCACAATTCAAAGAATCATAGAAACCATAATCAAGTATCATAACATCACAAACAAGGGAAAAGGGACAAGTGATATATAATCTGGAACTTCTCAACAGATTGACTTAGGGTCCGTTTGGAAAGCAGGAAAATGACTTCTGGAAAATGAGTCATTTTCCTGAACTCATTTTCCTTTCCTGTGTTTGGCTGAAAAATGGAAAACTGTCTTTTGGTGTTTGGTTCATTTTCCAGAAAATGATGGAAAACTGTCTTTTGGTGTTTGGTTCATTTTCCAGAAAATGAACAGAATGGTATACTTAAACATTTTAATTGTTATTCGATAAATATATTTTTATTCTTTTTTGTATAATATAACAATTTTTATTTCAAATTCCATGCTACATAAATTTTAGTTGTATTTAATTCGAATGTCTTTGCTCTCAACCTCTCTTTCTAGTATTAAAACTATTGTCATAATATGGCAATTTGAAACCACAATTACATGGCAATTACAAAACATACATAAAAATTTTGTAGAGTGGATATATATCTTTTATTTGTCTGTCATCTGAAGCAGATGATGTTCTGGGCATGAAAGAATTTAATGTTCCTCAAATTACTGCAATCTTGGCATGTCTAGTTAAAGATAAAAAAAATGGGTAAATTAAAATGGGTCCAATAGATAATGCAAAACATCCAGATCGAGTGAGTAGCAACAGGCTGGTATTAATTTAAGGAATCTGCAGTGGCAAGAATAATTTATGTTGTCTGTTTATGCTTGTGATGCTAATTCTGCTGTTCCATTTTCAAATATATCTCCTTTCTATTCTGTAGTGTCAGTTTCTCCACTTTCTTCTTGTATGCTTTCATATGGTAGCCATTTTCCAGTGGAGCTCACAATCTTCCACAACCACTGCCATTCTGTGGTCTGTATCTTGGTGTGGAGAACTCATTTTTCTCTCAAATTATTATTCACCTGCACTGTGCCTTAACCCCGAGAGTTCTTTGTGCTGATGATTACTGTCGATGTTTCAATGATCCTCCCGAAGCTGCTCTCCAGGCGCAACTTTAACGAGAGAAAGAAAGTAACTAGTCCTGCTCACAGCGCGGGGTAAACAAACCCTCATCCATGTTACCTCAGATACAGAACGCCCTCCTTGGTCTTAACTTGACCTCCATGAGACCTGAGAGTTCTGTAAATATATATATTTATATATATGTGTAAATGAATAAACAAATGTAAAATCGTATGAATGATATCTGCTTATTAATATGCAGTCAGTAGAGATGAAAAATTTGGTTTGAATTCTATTTATGGAACTGTGTTTGAGGATTTGATGGTGGATGTTTTCAGTTCTCACTGGTTTCGCATCGGAAACCAGATCTGGTTTCCGATGCGGAAACCAGTGAGTGAGTCTGGTTTCCGATGCGGAAACCAGAGGCACTGGTTTTCCCGGTCGGAAACCGCTGGTTTCCGGCCGGGGAAACCAGTGGAGAAAAAAAAACATAATAAATCTGTAAAATTCAGAGGAAAAAAAATCAAACTATAAAGATATAGAAATATACCTCAGTAGCTTTTCTAGAGTTGTTGAAGCTTTTGTGGATTGTTGGAGGAGGAGGTGTTGGTGAAGTTGTGTTGCTAATGTTGAAGGAGGAGGAAAGCTGAAGTGTTGAATACTGGAAGAAGAAGTGAAGAAGTGAAGTAGTGAAGTAGCGTGGATGGAAAATGACTTCCCCCAAAAAAAAGGGGAAGTCATTTTCCAGAAAATTGCCTTCATTTTCCATTGACTTCACCTCATTTTCCTTTGACCAGTCATTTTCCAATGTAGCCAAACACCCAAAACCCGGAAAATGACTTCCAGAAGTCATTTTCCGGGTTTCCAAACACACCCTTAATCACAGTCCACAATTCAAAGAATCATAGAAATCATAATCACACACAGTCAGTGCTTCCACCAGAAATCCATAATGTCACACAACATATCACACATTCACAGATTCTGAAATCAAGTTTATAACACTAGGGTTTTCATAAAAAGTCAGTGCTTCCACCACATTATCACAGAGACACAAAATAGATCACAAATTCGCAATAAACTCAGAGCAATATGCCAATAACTTTAAGAAATAACTTTTACAAAACTAGGGTTTGCAGTAACAACTAAGAAAGTCAGTGCTTCCACTACAATATCACAGAGACCACATAATACATCACAATAAATTTAAGAACTGCAAATATATAAAAATAGGGTCAGCGAGTTACTTCTTTTCTCACAAATACCCCGGAGAACGAGGGCTTCAGGCCTTCAGTTTACTGGAAGTCGATGTCTCGACGACATCAGTAGTCCACCACAGCACCACGTCCACGACCACCACAGCACCACTACACCAGTCAGTGCCTCAGGGTTTCCACTAGTGACCAATGTTTCGTTGTCTATAACAGAACCAACCGGACAAGGAGAGTATAGACTACAAAGAAGGTAGTCTTTGTCTAGTACAGAAGAGAGAACTGAGGAGTGGGGACTAAAATCACAAGGACGCAAGGTGCGACTGCGCAAAGAACCAGAGAGAACTGAGAATCTCAGAGAATGAGAGAAGAGAAGCTCTCGTCTGAAAACCCTAGCAAGAGAAGGGAATCAAGAGACTGACTGCGCAAGTGTGAAGTTAGGAGTAACAACATATATATATACTAAGCCTAAACGACGTCGTATTTCTATCTACGTACGCAACCCTAGCTTTAATCGGGTATTCAGACGGATCGGGTGCATTTTTAAGCCACCCTACCCGAATGCCGTAAACCGACGTCGGCGTCGGTTCGGTTTTGCGATTCGGGTAGCGGTTTGGTTCAATTGGTCTAGTTCGGTTCGCGGTTCGGCCGGTTTTTTCAGTTTGTTCGGATTCTGCTCAGCCCTAATCATATATGGTACGGATTGCCTCATTAAAAATCTTAACTTAAGAAAAAACAAAGAGATTATGGAGAAACAGGGGATCATCATCTTGTTTATCCATCCACTAGTATATATATATATATATATCTCTATATAAAATGTAAAAGTAATAATGAATAATGAATACACATAAATGTGAATAACTATTACAACGGTTACAATTGGATAATAATGTCCACCATGATGATTTGTTTATAACAATTTTTAATTTATCTAGTTGAGTCCATTTATAGAAATAAATTCACAGAGAGAGTTTGGTTGAAGGAATTTAAATTTCCTTCCCACTTAATTCCCACCCAATTCCAAAGGTCACAAAATTCTCTTGTTTGGTTGAATGGAATTGTGATTCTCCCATTTTCATAGAATTAAAATCACATGTCCCCCCTGGGATTTTAATTATTGAGATTTGAGGAAGAAAAAAAAGATAGTGATGAGTCAAAATTACCCCTTCATTTTTTTAACTTAAAATTAATGCCTAACAACAACAATGTACATTTTTTACTTTATACTCCTTATTCCCTTTCAATTCCCATGTATACCAAACATTGGAATTGAAATTTCCAGTAATTCTATTTCTGTAAACCAAACACTGAAATTTAAATTATCACTTTATTCCTAGTAATTCATCTCCCATGGAATTGCAATTCCTTTTACCACGTAATTCTCCCTCTCCAACCAAACGCCCTATCAAAATAACATTTCAAAAAGTCAAATTATTTTAGAATTCCTTCTACGGAATTGCAATTCAATTACACCCAAACTACATCCAACCAAACACCCCTGAAGGGTTGAAAGAAAAATTGGAGGGTGAGAAATGCAAATAACGGAAGGAAATTCGGGAAAAAGTGAAAACGGTGCGGAACCAAAGTACCAAACAGAGAACAAGTCCACACGGGAAGAATATCTTTCGGTATAGACGCAACGGTTAAAGATTAACCCTGGATAAACATGGGTTGTGAAGATATTTTAAGTGGACCCCAAATATGGCGTCAGACATGAGCGTAAACGGGTATCAATGAGAAGATATTTTGGTAAAGCGGTTAGATATTTTGATTTCATACATAAAAAGGATTTCAGAGAATCAGACTGGGCTGAGATTTATAGCCCATAGGCCCCATACGGCCCATTTTCCCGTAACAATAATAACTAGTACGTATTAATCAAAATAATTAAATTAGTTAAAGATTAACTAAAATTTACGGAGTAATCTTTATATTAATTGCAGGAAAAATTGATTAGCATATATGTTTGGTGTTATCTTTTTTTGAAACATGTGACCACTCAATTGAAATGGTAATAGAGGTGTCATCACACTACATAGTAGTTGGCGTATTTTAATGGTTACCTACTTACCTGAAAAATATAAGAATTAATAAATTACTTACAAAATTAAATATAATTTTAGTTCTTTGATAAACAATGTATAATTGTGGGAGAGACAAAATTTTCATATTTATACAAAAATTTTAACCTGACGTCAAAAGGATAAATACATAATTGAATATTTGAATCGGGAAAAGAGTCATACTCCTTTATATTAGATTTGGAGGGGTGTATTCAATCATGACTTTTATAGAGTTTTAAAAAATTTTAAAATGATAGATTTTAATAAACTCTGATTGACTTTCATAGAGTCATTCAAAACTTTTTAAAACTTTATAAGACTCTATAAAAGTCTATATAAAAAACATTCATAGACTTTTATCAACTTTTTATTTTAAAAAGTCTACAAAAGTCATTGAAATTCTAAATTGAATACATCTTTACAAACTTTCAATGATTTTGATTTTTTATCATTTATAATTTTCTTACAAAACATTTATAATATATCATAAAATTCTTCTTATTATATAGTTTTTCATCCACATTAACATTCTCAACATTATTATTTTTATCCATAGTATGCTGAGACTTATATGCTAATTACTTATAAATATTATTAATAAACATCAACAAAAAAAAAAACTATTTCATTAAAAATTCATAACAATATTGAACAATAAAATTTATAATAAAAGAATTGATCAAATAAAATTTTTAAAAATATAATTACAAGTTGCATAAAATAAAAAAAAATAAAAATCTAATATTAATAATATATAAAAAATTATACTTGATATATTGCTAGGCATCACGTAAAGAACTATTATTTGCAATAGCAATTTGAGATTGCGAACAACAACAAGGTGTTACAGTTTGCAATCCCAAATTGTTGTTACAAACAGTAGTTTGCCATTCCTCATAAGCTATTGTTAAAAAAAAAAAAAGGAAAAATATATACTACGAATATAAACATAAAAAGAATAAAAATCAAAATATATAAGTATTTATATGAATATTATGAAACATATACTAAAATTTGACGATGAAAAATTTGCTTTGTTCATGTATTTAGGGAGAACTAGAGAAAGTTAGGGATAAAAAATTCATAGAAAAAATAAAAACCAATATAAACAAGCAATAATGAAGTAAAAATAATATTATTTCGAATTTTTAGAGGAAAATATTGTAAAGTTTAGGAGAGAGAAAAATTGGTAGAGGTTAGGTATGAGGAAAATATAGGATAATAAAGAAAAAAATAATTTTATTAAATTTAGATAGGTTTATAAAGTTTAAATAGGAAGAAAAAATAGAGTTTAAATAGAGAGAGAAAACATTCAAAGTTGTTAGAAAGAATATTTTGAAATCTTGGGGTTAATGGTTGGATTTCAACTATTTATATTTGAGAAGGAAAAGTCTACAAAAGTCCTAAAATTAAAAAGTCTACAAAAGTTCATAACTTTTTGAATACCACATGACTTTTAAAGACTCTTTAAAAGTCTTAATCGAATATCGCACGACTTTTAAAGACTCTTTAAAAATCTTGATTGAATACCGCTTGACTTTTAAAGACTCTCTAAAAGTTTGAATTGAATACCTCCAAACTTTTAAAGTTTATAAAACTCTTTAAAACTCTATAAAAGTCATGATTGAATACACCCCCTTAGTTCCATTGATATCATAGAATTGGATTTCCAATTGACTTGAATTTTTCTAGTTAAATATTGTACCAAACATAAGAATGAATTTCTCATATTTTACATTCCTAACAGAATTTAAACTTTCTTAACTACCAAACGTACTCTAATATTAATAAATACAATTTATTTATATAACATTTAAAAGTTACATTACAAAAAAGGACTGAAAAGACAACAAAACACACACACACAAAATGAATTTCATTTTTTATCTCTCCAATACTGTCCAAAACTTTTGGTAGATACACAGTACAATTGATCCTCTAGTCCTCTACTACCACCTAATGGTATAAATTATGCAAATCTTTACCAACACAACTTTTTCAACATCCTGTGCCATACACAGTTCCACACTGGGTAGTGCCTTGAAATGCTTGTCCAACAAAAACCTATACTTCGGGGGATTGGAATAAGATGGACTCCACTCAAATATGTGTAACGGCAGAAAATTCCCTACTAATAATAATAATAATACTCCATAATAAATAAGTTACAAGTCCTACAAATTGTAAAGATACATTAGTTTTTTCACCATCAGAAAAGTTCCACATGAAATAAAGATCACATTTAATCATACTCAACCAAATTAAGACATTCACAATTAATTAAGAAGAAGCATAAGCCAAAGGTGAAAATTAAATAGTATTAGGTTGTGTCTGGTTTGCACAAAGGAATTGAAATCAGAATAAAAATCAAATACTTAATAATTGTAATTGGTTTTGGTGAAAGTACGATTTTACATTATTCAAAGAATATGTGCATGAATTTATAGAAGAGGGCGCGGAGAGCTCACAAGCTGAAGAGAACGAAGAAAGCACTAAGGTGGACGCCATTTCGCCATTGCTGATTCAAGCAAGGTACGATGCAAAGGATTGTCTCATTGTATGTCCAACCTCTACAATATCGGAAAGAAAAACTTTCACTTTTGGTCCTTGACTATGGTATATATTTCAAATTTGGTAATATTTTCAAATTTAGTACATGATTATGTAATTTGTATTACATTTGGTAATTGATTATTAATATTTTCAAATAAAGTACATAACTTTATAATTTGTATCGTATTTGGTCATGTTGTTTAAGTTTACGACTAACTATTGTCAGAATTTGAACGAAAAAAAAAATAAAAAATTCCGACAATAATTGGTCGAAAATACTCTTTTTATTTGAACATATTATATTTATTGTTGAAATTATGACAATAATTGGGCAAAAAAATTAGACAGTTAAAATAATGTGATATAAATTACATAGTTATGTACCTAATTTTAAAATATTAATAATTAAATATCAAATGTGATACAAATTATATAATCATGTACTTAATTTGAAAATATTAATATTCAATAATCAAATTTAATTCATGTACAAAAATTAAAAGACCAAAGTTAAAAAATTTTCATATCGGAAATGAGCCCAACAAATGTTCTTACAATAGTTATGCTGTGGAAACGTGTCCACCATGCGCATGGTGAACACAGGGGCAGATTCATAATTTCTATATTATATATTCATAATTTTTTTTTTATTTGAAAACGTAGATTCATAATTTTGTTTTTCATTTGTTGTTAACGGGATAGATCCATAATTTCTAAGCTGTAGATTCATAATTTCTAAGCTGTAGATTAATAATTTCTATACTGTAGATTAATAACATCTATACTGTAAATTCATAATTTCTATACTGTAGATTCATAATATCTATAACAACAAATGAAAAAACAAAATTATGAATCTACGTTTTCAACAACAAAAAAAAAAAAAAAATTATAAATCTACAGTATAGAAATTATGGATATACCCCTGTGTTCACCATGTACATGATGAACACGTTTCCACAACATAATTTCCGGGTCAAAGTATCTATGAAGTCTTTGTACTATAGTGTTTTGTTCAATTTAGTTCTTGTACCTTTATTATGTTCAATTTAGTCCCTTTACTTTAAAAAGTGATAAAACTGAGGACAATTGTCCAAATCTCATTACGAACATGGTCGTAATTATTTATTTTGGACATACTAATTTAATTTATTGGTGGTAAAAATAATAAATTTTAAATATTTATAAAGTAATATATGTGTATGAATATAAATATCATCAACGCCATGTAACCTAAGTTAACGATAATATTAACATCGTTAACTATTGTCCTTAATTGCACCACTTTTGAAAATACAAGAACTAAATTGAATAAAATAAAAATATAAGGACTAAATTGAACAAAACGCTATAATACAAGACCCTCGTAAATACTTTAACCTAATTTGCGATGTTCTTACCGTACAGCTGGAAATGTGGGTTCGGGTCAATTAAAAACAGAACACACCAACTGGGCCCCACGGAACGTATGACGTGCCCTCTCTTTAAATTTTGGGCTAAAGGCATTGCCGCTTTTTCAAAATGTATTTAATTAAAGACCCATTTTTAGAGCTACTTCCCAATTGGACCGACGAGCCCAGTTCATATAATCAGATACTGTATTTGTTTTCGTACTTTCACTTTTTTTTTTTTTTTTTTTTTTTTTAATTGGTGACGAAGACAACTTAGTTGTTATACCATGGAGTCATGGACCAGGTACACTTTGTAAAGTGGACTATAGTTTTAAATTATGTATTTTTTAGTACTGAAACTGTGAATTTTTAGAATATAAATTGTATTTTTAAATTTTAAAAATTTGTGAATATAATAAAGGCTCATTACAAATTGTTAATTTTTAAAAGATAAATTATAAATATCTAGTATGTAAATTGTGTATTTTTGGATCTAAGTCCACTTTGCAAGATAGGCCCGGGTCCACATAATAATTTGTCAGGACAAATTTAGCCAATTTGATTAGACTATTTACTTGGTAACTATCAAATCCAAAAAAATAATGATACATTTTTTAAATCAGATTATGATTAATTGCTAAAGTTATCTTTATTAAGAGTTGAGTATTTAAAACTAACTTCAGAACAAAAAAAAAAAAAAAAAAAAAAAAAAAAGTCCGTTAATTTGTACACATTAGAAAAGACGATTGAGGAAGACAAGCGCAAAGGTATTCGGGCGGGACTTTGGAGTAGAGAAATATCGGGAGACAATATTATATTTGAATTGTACACATATTAAAGGCACACAAGTCGGATGCAAAGCATGACGCTCCCACAGTCCCACCAATATAAATGTGAAATTTTGCCAAACCTTTAAAAGTCACGACATTTTCAAAGCCATCTTTAATGATTCCAAAAGCCTTACAAATTCCTCCATATCACTATAACTCCAAATATATTTATATTTATTTATTGAAATTTTATATTTCACGCTTACAAAAAATAATCAAAATCACTCGACCCGTAAATTTTCACATATCGACCCAACATGATTTGTCGAAGGTGATAAATAGCCCACTGCATTAGGTGTGGTTCTCATATTACGCCTGCTAAATATGGCTTTATTCTGCATCTTTGTTCATAATATGTCACCTATGAACCAGATGAATTACATGTGCAGGTGAAAATTTATACTTTCAGTTCAATTGATCTTGAGTTACAATTTACTTCATCTCTTTAAACTTTTTACAAATCTAATAGTTTAATGGTTAAATTAGTTATAAATTCAGTGTTTCAACTATCTAAAATGTCACTCTCACTTGTATCTATAAAAAAAATAGAGAATATAAAGAATGTATTAAACATTACAAATATGCGCTTATAAAACAAAAATATTCAAATAGATTTTAGCGTACTAGTTAATTATGAGAATAAATTTACAACTTATTTAACAATTAAATAATTAAATGTTAAAAAATACAAATAAACATGAACTAAATTGAGAACTCGATAACAATTAAATAACCAAAACTGTAATCTTTCATTATTTAGCAGTGTCATAGTAATGCTACTATAAATTAAATTATACTCTTGTTATTTTATATTACTAGTAAAGCATATTATATAACTTCACAAAATATATTGGATCTTAAAATTTTAATTTTATTTATTGTAAATAAATCTAAAATATTGATCGAAATTCAATTTGAAATCTAGTGATTTTATTTACTATTTTTAGATATTCTAAAGTGATCATTAAAATAGTAAATAACTCTGTTAACGAACGGAGGTTATTCGTGTTTGTTTGTTAAGGTTTTTTGAGTGTTTGTGTTCGTGGTCGGTTGTTGAGGTTTTTGAAAATCATGTTCGTGTTTGTTTGTTAAGCATTCGTTAATGTTTGTTAATGTTCACGAACGTGTTCGTTAACATTAACGAACACGTTCACGAACATGTTTGTTAATATTAACGAACAAGTTCACGAACGTTCATACACACGTTCGTGAATGCTTAATAACCAAATATATGAACATGTTCATGGTCACAATTCGTTCGTGAACAATAAATAATATATTTTCACGAAAAATAACCAAACAAGTAACACAACTACAAAGAGAATACAAACAAATATTAAACGAACACAAACGAGCTTGTTCACGAACATTATGAAACGAACACTAAACGAGTTTGTTCGCGAACATTATTAAACGAACACAAACGAGCTTGTTCACGATCTCTTAGCAAACGAGCTTACAACTGTTCAGGCTCTGTTCGTTTATAAACCGAGCTCTAAATTTTGTTTGTTAATGTTCGTTTACTTTAATAAACGAACATAAACGAACGCTTACCGAACACGAACACGAGTAGTTTACCGAAAGCTCTATTTACTAATACCCATATAAATAAGGTACACAATTTTTTTTGGGAAAATGACACTTTTTCCCCCCATGTTATATACTTATAGCACTTTTTCCCCATCAATTATTTAAGTGGCTCTTTTCCCCCCTGAAATGTTAAATGGACATATTTACCCTTAAAATAAATATTTCATTTATTTTTATTCTCCAATAAATTATTACTATAATTTGGTTCAAACCAAAATATTCCAATTAAAATTTATAACCAAAACGCGATATTTAGAGTTTATTAAAATCGCGAACTGGAATGGCCGGTTCATGTTCCGAACTGAAAAAATAAAATACATTTATTGTTGAATTTAAACTATTTTAAAATAAAGACGGTTCAAAATCGCGAACGGGATCCGGAACCGCCGGTTCATGATCCAGTTTTTTTTATTCTTAAATTTAATAAATTGAAATCCAAATATTGGGTTCTAGATCTGAATCATAACTGAAAAATTTTAATTCGATTGCTATAGTGTCTGGTTCAGTTCGAACCGAACCGTGGTAATCGCTACATATACGCAATAATTTGTTGGAGAAGTAAAATAAATAAAATGTTTACTTTAAGGGTAGAAATGTCAATTTAATATATTAGGGGGAGAAACCACCACTTTTAAAATAATTGAGGGAGCTAATGTGTTTACATAAATAATTGAAGGGAGAAAAATGCTATAAGTATATAACATAGGGGGAAAAAATGCCATTTTCCTTTTTTTTTTTTTTGTAAAAAGTCGTGGGAATTAATGATGACAGTGACAAACGGTGGCGGACCACGTTCCTTGCGTTTGTTTATGTAACGAAGGCAAATGATATTGCCTTTAATCAGTTAATTAATCACAATTAACCAGGAATTAGGTGGAATGATAAGTTAACAACTCCGCGGGGCTAGATCACGCAGCTAGTACGAATTACGAAGCACTTATTAGATAAACAAATGCCACGTGACAGAAACAAGTCTCCTTAAATTACGATGGTGTTAAATGCCCTCATCAAATGCCGGAGAAGGGACACAGAATGTGTTCTGACAGAGTTAAGGTTATACAAATTAATAATTGACTCATTTATAATCATAATTCATAAGATGTAAAATTAGTAGGGTTGGTGAGGGTGGAAGTATAACTGGATGCGGAAACTGTGATTAAGGTTATAAATGATAAAGGTAATAGGGGGAGTTAAGATCGAATTTGGTTATGAATTGTATTTTCTTGTTCAGAGACTTTCAAACCATTGTGTTTCTGCATGGGAGTCTCATATAGGAGTCCAATCCAGGTGCCATCTGAGCACAAGGTGCTTGGCAATAAACTAATCTAATAGTATTATTTATAAATTATAGAAAATTAAAACATATATATACATATATAATTCGATTAAACGATACTTTAAAACCGAAGTAACCGTTAACCAAATTATTAAAAATCATTAAATTAAAATCATTAACCAAACCAAAATATTGTTAGGGATATAATACTACAAAAATATTATTTCCGGAAAAGTAACAAGCACAAGAACGAAAGATAAATGATTAGTTCGAGTCGTGTGAAACACATTTTTTTTGAAACCTTATTTGCTATCTCTCTTTGGTGCTCGAATGGTTATATTGTAGCCTATGTAAACTGATAAAACGAACTACGACTTATGATTTGAGCACTCAAATAATAAACCCGGCAAACAAGAACAATGGTTTGAACACAATAATTTTGGAGGAAGGAAAAACAAGGTTTTCTTGAGAGAAAAACGAAAGATAGTTAATTTTCTTGGTACTAAAATTTACTCCATACTTATCCAAAAGTTTATATAATAGAAGGGATTAAATATCATTTAACTTGGCATTTATATTGATATATTTAAAATGAGTATGTGTAACATTCATAACATACAAACATTATTAATCTGAAAAATTAATTTTAAAATTAAACATTATCAAAATAATATACGCCCATTCCCCGGTCTACTGCCCTACAGGTAGCTTAGTTGAAGAAGAGCAAATACTCATTTAATTAGTCTTCATGGCAGAATGGGTATTTACACTTCTCTGCCTGTTTCTTAAACACAAATCTTTTCTTAAATTCAACTGACGACGCTAACATGAATGCGCATTGGATTAAGATTGGCGTTGTCAGGCTGTTGTGTCGGTGTTTATGTTATCACTTCCACCAAACCACTTGCTCCCAAGTCAAACTTATTGTACTAGCTTAGTAAATTTACAATGACAACTAACACTAATTATTTATACGAAAATTCCCACTTTTAATTATTTCACTATTGAGACAATACCCCATTCAACAAATTTGTTTGACTTAAATAATTATTAAAATATTCTTAACAAAACAAATCTCATAAAAAAATATAATTTTTGGAATAATGGTCAAATATGCCATCCAATTACACACCAAAATGCAATTAGACCATTGAACTAAAAAACAATGCAATTATTAGGTCCCTGAACAACACAAACTCATGCAATTGAATCCAAAATGACTTGTTTACCTAAAAGTATGCTGATGTGGCAGTTACTAATTTTAAAAATAATTTTAAATAAAAAATTAATTTAAAAAAAAAAAAAAAAAAAAAAAAGAGAGAACGGTCAGAGACGAATCGTCTCCAGTAGGCTTCATCTCCGCCCATGGAGACGAAAACCTCCGTCTCCAGACTCCATGGTTGGCTGGCGGACCTTCGTCTCCTGGCCATGGAGACGAAGCGGCGCGAAGAAGGTTCCCTTCGTCTCCAGCCATGGAGACGAAGCCGACCATCGTCTCCGGCCGTTTTTTTTTAATTAATTATTTTATTTAAAATTATTTTAAAAAATAATTTTTAAAATTGGTAACCGTCACTTTAGGTAAACATGTAATTTTGAATTGAATTGCATGAATTTGTATGATTTAGAGACCTAATTGCATTGTTTTTGAGTTCGATGACCTAATTGCACTTTGGTGTGCGAGCGGCCTATTTGACCTTTATTCTTATAACTAGCATTTTGTACGCGCGATGCGCGAAAACTTATGCCCAATATTAAAATATTGTTAAGTAACAAAATTTAAAAAATTAGTTAAAATTATGTTTCACAATTTCTTAAAGTGATCCAAACAATATATATATATATATATATATATATATATATATATATATATATATATATATATATATATATATTATAATAATAATTTACAAATAATACTAAGTTAACACCCACATATATGATATATTGATATGTATACACAAATAATATATATACATATTATTTATAATTAAAATTTAATATTCATATAAATATTTAATTAAAATATAATTTATAATTAAATTAATTGTTATATGATAATTTTAATAAAATGATAACTAAAAATAAGAAAAAGATATGATAGATGTATGTGTATGGTAAGATTGGTGGACATATTAAATATAAGGGTAATTTTGTCTAATACAAATCAAATGTACAACAATTAAAGCAAGATGTATATATTTATTAGCATATAAAAAATGGACAAAAATCAAGGACATAACTTGTATTGACACTTATTATGTTTTTATTTAGATTTTTAAAATTAGTTAACTGTGGTAAGTTAATACTCTATTACTCTCTGCAATAAATTTGTTTGACTTAAAAAACTATTAAGATATTCTTGACGAAATAAATTACATTAAAATATGCATTTAATTAGTTGGCTAGCAAGATATGTCATACAAAGTGATAAAACTTATCTAGAAAGCATATAATATATTTTAAAATGTGTTCATCTATAGACTATAATCACACCTACTAGTCTATACGGAGTATATGTTAGCAATTTCTTTTTTGCACCGTATAAAACGATTGGACACCAAACCCTAATATGAAAACAATTATTTCTCATAATTATTAGTTTACTTTTGTGGCATTGCAATCCAATTGAGATAATTATTGTACCGAAACCGAAATATAGTGCCACCGTGTGAGAATCATACATTGTTCGATAGTGACGCTGAGAAAGTATTGTGAGAATGAAACATCCTAAGTGGGATCAATATTTAATATTTAGAAACATGATTAGATGATTACGAAACTAATTTTTTAAGAAACCATAAACTAATTAAGAACCAAATTGTGGCATTATATTATTGTAGCATAGTTAGTACGTAGAGAAAGAATATGCGTGTTTGACCGAATAGAGGCTCATTCAGTAACAACGGGGCGACAAAGTGCAAATAGAAAAGTGTATCATGTAAAATTATAAAATGTATGTAATTATATATTACCAAATGCGCCAAGACTATGCGGTTTAATGGTATCCGAGCTAAATTTCTATTTAAAAGGTTGTGAGTTCGAGTTTCAGAAGGTTGAGAAAGACAGATACTATGTTAGTATATTGTAATACTCGTTCATTCATTTGGGTGTTGTAAACAAATTAAATTGAATAATATATTTTAATATTCAAAATTCTGATTACATGTCAAATATCAAGGGGGTGTGGGTACAAGATCTCTGGATGTCCTCTGATTCTTCAATTCGATGTCTTGAACACTCCACCATTGAAGGGCCTCCGGGTTTCAAGTGGTTTGATCTTCAAAGAAGGGCTTGTATATATAGCTTGTTCTTCTTGAAGGGCCTCCGGGTTCAAATGGCTTGATCTTCAATGGAGGTTTGGATCAACATGCATCAACATATGGAGGAGGAAGGACTTTTACTTTCAGGATCACATTTTTATTGTGATCCTGAATAATATTTTTCTAGATGTTTACATCACTTTTCCTAAGATGTGTGTGATTACATAGAAATGAGAGCTCCTATTTATAGCTGTAGGATAGAGAGTTTTGATAAGTTCAAACTCTTTTGATATTATCTAATTAACAAATTAGATAATATCAATATTATCCAAAATATTTCAAATATATTCAAATATACTAATATTGATAAATAATCAATATTTATCAAAATTTAAGTGTCTACAGGTGTTCATCGACCTATGTTCACTGGTGTAATCTCCGTTTTCGTTCATTACTATGTTAGTATATTGTAATACTCGTTCATTCATTTGGGTGTTCATCTGTAATCCTCGTTCATTTTGAGAGGGGCAGAAGATGACGACCTATGTTCACTGGTGTAATCTCCGTTCTCGTTCATTCATTTGGGTGTTCATCTGTAATCCTCGTTCATTTTGAGAGGGGCAGAAGATGACGACCTATGTTCACTGGTGTAATCTCCGTTCTTGTTCATTCATTTGGGTGTTCATCTGTAATCCTCGTTCATTTTGAGAGGGATTCATTCATTTGGGTGTTCATCTGTAATCCTCGTTCATTTTGAGAGGGGCAGAAGATGATGACCTATGTTCACTGGTGTAATCTCACACTGGTCCTCTTACCTAATAGGTTACTAAGTTAAGGTAATTTACCTTCCATTTTTATGTGAGAGCCTTGAGGTGGGTGGGGAAATTTCACCTTTGTGGTGGGCAAAACATGTTTACTCCATAAATTGTTATTCTAGAAATTCATTTAAATTCCTATACTCCAACTCCTACAACGTGATGCACGTAGGTTTCATGCCAAAAATTATTCAGATGGAACTTCTTTGACATTTTGTTATTGGATCGGATGAAAACCTTCTCTCTTTCTTCTTCTATATTTTATCATTTTTGTGGCAATAATTAATTACTCATATATTGTTGGAATAGATCTAGCAATGTTTAAAATATTTTTTAATTTTGTTTTGTCTATTCCATTATATATGAGTTTGATCTCTCCTACATGAAAGTAGGGTATCCTCCTTCTTTAAAATTAAAAAAAAAAATATTTATTTTTAATATATTACAAGTTTGTTTTTAAATATTTATTTTTAATATATTACTTAAAATTACATTTATAATTTAAAATTTACGGAGTAACATTTATTAATGATACATTAATTTTTTTTTATTATTATACAGTATAATGGGTTGTTATCCATTTACACGAAATTGTTTTAATAGTAATAATAATAATAATAATAATAATAATAATAATAATAATAATAATAATAATAATAATAATAATAATAATAATAATAATAATAATAATAATAATAATAATAATAATAATAATAATAATAATAATAATAATAATAATAATAATAATAATAATGTGCTAATGACTATATTCAACCGAAAAATTGATATAACATCCAACGTCATTGAGTGATAATCTTGTCATTTCTCTGCTCAAACGGTCTGTACGACTAGTTAGTTCGCTACGGCTCTCTTTACCGTGGCTTAATTAGACGAGTTAGAACATCTCTCTCAGTTATTCACTTATTCCTCTTCTCTCTCTCATCTTTATACACAGTGCAATCTGTATCCGTTGCGCTTTCCCCTTTAATTCGCGGCACCGGATTCACATTTCCTTAACTCTCACCGACTGCGAAGAACTTTTCAAATGCTGGGACCGTAATCGCCTTCTCCTTCTTCTTCTTCACACAGTCTCTTACATTCCAATCTAGCTGCCGGAGAAAATGGCGGTTTCCGGCGATAATCAAAGCTCTACCACTTTTTTTAGCTCAAAAACTCCAATACTAGGACTTCCACTCTACGTCGTAATCGCAGCCACGGTTGCCATTATGGTTACGGTCTTCTTCCTGATCTTCCTGTTTCTCCGTTTGAATCGGCCTTCCAGGAGACGTCGAGTTCTGGTGGAGCAGGGCTCTAGGTTGTTGCCGTTGGTGAAGAAGGAGATATCTGAAATCGGAACTGGCGACCGTGGTCAGATTTGTAGAACA